ATCGTTATTATTAAAGAATGGCAAATCCGACAATGAGGCGTTCCCCCAACACTGCGCTGGAGCTTTAGCCCATTTTACGTGAGCGCAAAATCCCGACGTGGGGCTTGAACCCATAAGACGTCTGACTCAGAAGCGAGATTGAGAAGCGACTGAGCCAGGCTGACACCTAGGTGATCTTTACCATAAGTAACTCGCTGGTTCTATTGATGTCGTTAATCACGCCGTGTCCTGGAAAAAGGATTTGTGTTCTGCATTATGTTGTGTCAAATATTGTTTCTGATATTTTGCTAAAATTACATAGAAAATGGCTCAGTGAGCATTAGTTTGAGAAAATAATCCTTGCATTTAATAAAGAGCCTTAAACCTCCACACATCTCACTTGCTGTAAAATATAATGATTTGCTGCCACAGAGCAAAGTCTCCCAAATAGCCTTGATGTGAGTGCCCGATTTAACTGGGGGGATTGCCCTCCACGACAGAAAGAGAGAGAGAGAGAGAGAGAAAAACTCCCTCCTCTTTTGCCGCAGTATATTTAACGGACACCTGAACAGGCACAGACGGGGAGCGAGGTTTAACGTCCCGTCCGAAGGACAGCACCTCTGACGGCAATAGTAATAATAATAATAATTCTTCCATTTGATGCAGCGCCTCATCACATCTACCAGAGGCCTCAAAGCGCTTCACAGGATACACCGTAAAGTGCAGCGATTGTGTATTTTGTGGACGACACTTGGCAGCCGATCGCGCACAGCAGCGTCCCCGCAAACAGCCGCGAGGATTGAGTGACCACGTTACTTATTTAATTAATTATTTATTTTGAAGGGGATTATTACTCCGAGAATGTGCCCGGGAATCGAACTCAGGTCCTCCCGCTTGGGAATGAGCTCGCTCACCACTGCCCTACAGGACAACGCAGGGCTCCCCCCGGCACTGCACTGGAGAGTCAGCCGAGACTGTGAAATCAAAGCCCCCGTCTCCCCTGACTGGACTGAGCCAGACCGACACATGATGAGAGAGAGAGAGAGAGAGAGAGAAAGAGAAAGGAGGCTCCATCTCAAATATTGTTTAAAAAAAAGGTGGAGCAGGAATAACCGTCATGGAAATAACCGTTAACTCATTAACTTTGCTCCTGCCTTGTATAGAGTGAAACTGACGCTCAGGCCAATCTAATGTACCCACCACAGCTCTCTGCCAAACACAGCCATGTGAGATGCTCTCTCTCTCCCACACACACACACACACACACACCCACCCCTGTACTAGGCATAATATTTGCTTTATCTATCAGGAGGCGTCAATCACTTATCAATCTGTGGATCCCTGGAGCTCAGTGGTTAGAGCACTCGCTTCGCAAGCGAGAGGACCCGGGTTTGATTCCCGGGCGGGGCGAAATGTTGGGCAGGTTTCCTTACCCCACACGACTGTTTACCAAGCAGTACATAGTTTGAGATTGCGTTGCTTTCAGCCACTACGCCCCGAAACTCTGTCACTCTCTCTCTCTATCCCTCCGTCTTGCCCCCTCCGTCCCATCTTCAGGAGACCTCCGATGCTGTCAGGCGCTCTGGGACGCTATCCTGCGTGAGGGGAGCGCTGTGTAGATGCAAGTTGTACTTGTTGTTGAGGGCCTGAAAAGCAGATTCCTTGCGTCGCTATCAATTCAGGAGCAAATGGTCGTGTTTTGCCAGGCTGCCCGGAGGGGGAGGCAATGATTAAGCGATTAAGAGCCAGATATCTGCCTCGGTATTGATTACTTGCTGTAATTTACTGCACAGCCCGAGCTATCAGATACACTCATTTATTCCCATAGCAATTATCACAGACTCCGGGAGAAAATCTGAAGCATTAATAGTAAGTGGTGAGAGAGCTTGTGGTATAAACACATCAGCCTCGCTCGCTTGCTCTCTCTCACCTGAGGGTCTCATGGTCTGTCCTGATACTGTGTATATGTGTGTGTGTATCTGTCTGTCCATATCTCTCTCTCTCTCTCTCTGTTTCTATCTTCCTTCTCTCTTCCATTCCCTTTAAACAGTTTCCAAAGAAACACCCTCTGGCCTCTCTCCCTCCCCATCCACAGTAAAGCTGACACGGCTAATTCCTCGCAGTTCAGACACCAGGGAACATAAGTTAAAAATTAGGTCAAGTAAATAGACTTGTGGAATAAGTTACCAGCCTAGGGGAGGTGGGGGGGGGGGGTGGGGGAGAGAGAGAGAGGGTGGGGTGGGGAGTGAGCACCGATTGTACTGTCAGCTCACAGTGTGTGTGGAGAGAGAAGTCATTAAGGAATGTGAAAGCAGAGGATTTTCTGGCCATGTTCTAACCCGCTAAAAATTAGGGGTTCATTTGACTCGATTCCTTTCCCTTTTCCCCTCCTTGTGGAGTCCTGTAGCTCAGTGGTTAGAGCGCTTGCCGGGCGAGCGAGAGGACCCGGGTTCGATTCCCAGGCGGGTCAGGAAGGGGCGAAACCTTAGGCAAGTTTCCTTACGTCTCTATTTACCGGCAGTAAGTAGGAAGCCGGTTGTTAGTCGATTGTCGGATCACTTTCCGGGCGGGGGTAATAATCCCTTCAAAAAACACGTAATAATTTGGTCAATCAATCCATGACTGTTTGTGGGACACATCTGTGCGCAATTGGCTACCACATTCCGCCCACAAAACATACAGTCACTACACTTTACAGTATATTCTTTGAAGCGCTTTGAGACGTGATTGGGCGCTATATCAAATGCAAGAATTATTATCATTCTCTCATCATTACAATGACAATCTTCCGTACATGCAATGCAGTGTCTCATCACCTCATCAAAATGTCTCAAACTGCTTCACAGCCTTTCACTGTAAAGTGTAGTGACTGTGTATTTGGTAGGCGAACACGGCAGCCAGTTTGCGCACAGCAGCGTCCCCACAAACAGCCATAAACTGAAATGAACAATTCTGAATAATTTTACCTGGGGGATTGTCGGACAGGACACAGGGAGCGGGTGATACAGAGAGAGAAAAACTCCCTTCTCTTTTCCGATAGCTCTTTAATTCCACCTGAACGGGGCCCAAAGGGTGGTCGGGGGGGGTGGGGGTGAGGTTTAACGTCTCATTCGAAGGACGGCGTCTCCAACAATGCGGTTCTCTCTCTCGCTCCCTCCAGCGCTGAGCTGGAGAGTCAGCCTAGACTATGAGCTCAAAGCCCCTGACGTGGAGAGGGGAGCACAGTCCTCTGACTCAGAGGCCAGAGCGCCAGGCTGACACAAGATAAATATTAAAGCTCGCAGTTTGACAGAACCGTCAAAACAACTCAAAGTGCTTTTGGGTGGAATGCGCAGCCAAGTGTGAGCTCGGCGTTATTTGTGGGCAAACGGGGCAGGTGTTTTGCACACAGCACTGTCCCAAAATAATACATAAGCCGTGAACTGACTGATTTTATCTGGGGGGGGGATTGTCAGCCAGGGCCCAGGGAGAGAGAAAAACTCCCTTCTCTTTTCCCGACATCGTCGCAGGAGATCTTTAACGTCCACCTGAACAGGGCACAGACGGGGAGTGAGGTTTAAGATCTTGTCTGGGATTAAAACAGCATCTGGGGTTTGTGAAAGGCTGTGTTGAGCTCACACGCGCACAGCCCACCCCACACACACGGCCCACCACACACACACCACCATACACACCCCACACGCACACAGCCCACCACACACACACAGCCCACCACACGCACACCACCATACACACCCCACACGCACACAGCCCACCACACGCACAACCCACACACACAGCCCCACACGCACACACCCCACTACATACCCCACCGCACTCACCCCCCACATACACACAGCACACACTCAATCTACGATTGTTGTGCTGTGCGCAATTGTCTGCCGCGTTTCGCCCACAAAATACACAGTCAATTCACTTTACAACAACAAGATTACATGTGGACAGCGCTTTTCGCGTCGGGAGGACGTCCCAAGGCGCTGGACAGAGTACAGCATTTCAGACCCGAGTTGGGGTCATGGGGGGGAATGGGGGTGGCCGATGGCATGGTCAAACAGGAGGGTCTTGAGGCGGGACCTGAAGGAGGCTAAGGAGGGGGCGAGGCGGAGTGCCTGGGGATGGAATTCCAGAGGTTGGGGGCTGAAGGCTCTCCCGCCAATGGTGGGGAGGGTGGGTCGGGGCACAGTGTATCCTGTGAAGCGCTTTGAGACGATTTGAAGACGCGATGAGGTGCTGTGTCAAATGCCAGGATTACTATTCTTATTACACAGACAAGCTACAGCTCAGAAACTAATAATAAAGACATTAAGCATCGGCGAGACTTTCCGCTTTACACTCTGAGCCCCAAAGAGTTAAGTCCACCCTTTTGTTACACAGATGCTGTGTTACATCTGTCCCCCTCTCTCCCCCACCCGTCCTCCCCCAGACACCCCCAGACACCAAGGTAAACATTGCTAATGGTGGTTCTTTGTCTGTGTGTCTTTGTGTGAGTCTGTGTGTCTCGTGTGCGCGTGTTTGCCTGTGTGTGTGTGTCTATGTGTCTCTGTGTGTGTATATGTTTGTCTGTGTATGCGCTGACACCCCTTCCCCAGGCCTCAGTATCTTTAGCCAGGATCATACAATGTGAGCGAGAGAGAGAGAGAGAAAGAAGAGAGTTGGAGAGAAAGGAAGAGAGACACAGCAAGTGAGAGGGGGAGTAAGATAGCGAGAGAGAGAGAGCGAACGAGTTGAGAGCTGGAGAGAGAGCGAAAGAGAACAAGACAGCTAGAGAGAGTGCAAAAGATCAAGAGAGAGAGAGAGAGTGAGAGAGCAAGAGAGGGAGAGCAAACGAGAGAGCGAGAGAGAAAGAGCAGCTCCCACACACACACCTACGCAGATCCCTGCTGTCAGGCTGTGTGGGACTGAATTCTGGTCTCTCCGTCTCTCTCTGTCTCGCTATCCCTGGGGCTATCTCCCCACCGGCCCCGTGGGATGGAGCGGCTGCTCCGTACCCCCCCCGGCCCAGGCTGACCACCCCCACTCCGCTCCCGGCCGGAGACATGAAGAGTGGGAGCGAGACCCGGGACTGCTGTTGCCGACATTTGTTCGGAAAATCCTGGCCAAGTGTGGCTGCTGCTCCCGATCCCAAGGTGAGTGTGCGACGGAGACTAACTCTTCCCAATCCCTACTCTCTTCCCGATTCCCCTGCTCGTCCCTCATCCCTCCGCTCCACCATCAGCGGCCGCACTTTCACCCACTACACCCCTAAACTCTGTCACTCTCTCTCTCTCTCTATCCCTCCACCTTGCCCCTTCCCTCCTTCCCCTCTTTCAAATCACGACCGAAGACTTTCCTCTTCGACCGTGCTTACGTTCACCTCCTCCCCCCCTCTCCCCCTGTGCTCCGCCACTGTCAAGCGCTCTGGGACGCTATCCTACGTTAAGGGCGCTGTGTAAGTGCAAGTTGTTGTTGTTTTTGTTGCTCTTCCCGATTCCTCTCCCCCTTTATCAAACTCCCGGAACACCTACGCTCAGAGCAAGTCTATCCCTTAAGACAAATACCGGGAGCAAATTCCCACTGGGAAGTGGGGGGAAGGGGGCAGCTGGGAAATATCCCAGACATTTTACTCAGCCTGAAATCCCAGATCAACAACGATTGTCAGAGAGAGAGAGAGAGGTTTCCTTTCCCAGGAATGTATGCGCGTGTGAGAGGATGTGGGGGGCTGTGTGTTTGTGTGTGTTGGTGGGGAGGGCTGTGTGCGTGTGTGTGTGTGGGGGTGGTGGGGAGAGCTGTGTGTGGGGGGCGCAAGGTGGGGTGCAGAGTTTATAATTATATAATACCAACCCAGTCGTTTGGCGATTGGCGAATCGCTTTTTGGGGGTAAAAATTGCTGAAAAAATAATAATTTTATCACTCGATCCACGAATGTTTGCGGGACAGGGCTGTGCGCACTTGGCTGCCGCATTTCACCACAAAACATATATAATAATTTCACTCCTAAACGGCCTGGCTCTAATTTTAAGATAATGCCCCACTTTGTTCTGGATTCCTCCCCCCCCCCGCGTCCAACCCCCACACACCAGAGGAAATAGTTTCTCTGTAGTTGGCCCTATCGACTCCCTTTATTATTTTAAAAAAACGTTAATCAGATCAGCCCTCGACCTTTCAAGTTTGTACAGCGTGAGGGACGCTGTATGTTGTGTGTGTGTGTGTGTGGGGGTGGGTGGGGGGGGTGAGAACCTTCTGAACCGGAGACGTTACTGCTCGAGCCCTATTCTGTGGCGAGAGAGTTAAATATTCCGAGGCAGCAATCTCATGGCAGCCAAACATGTAAAAGGCTTTATGTGATTGCTGCCCATTTCCAACAGCAGGGAAAGCAAAAAAAAACAGCCAGCAGCTGCTATCTATTTACATCATTCAAATAGCTCCCAAATCTCCCCGAGTCGGTCCAGGCTAACAGGAAACTTATAATAATATTTTAAAAACAACAATCCTTGCAAGGCGCCCGATCACACCGTCGAGACGTCTCAAAGCGCTTCGCAGGATACCCCGTAAAGTAAATTGACTGCGTATTTTGTGGGTGAAACGCAGCAGCCAATTGCACACAGTGACGACTCACAATGGGGTGGGGGTGGAGGGTGGGGGAGAGATTGAGTGATCACACTATTACTATTCAGCTTCTCTGCCCACCCACCCTCTGGCATTCCATCCCACAATCCCTTTGCCTCGCTCCCTCCCTTGTGTCCTTCATCCCCCAGCTCGGGTCCAAATCCCTGACTGTCCAGCACCTCGGGACGTCCTCCCGACGTGAAAGGCAGTCGCTGTGTGTATGTCATTTGCCCTTGTCTCAACCGAAAGACGGCACCTCCGACAAATGTGGCGTTGCCCCCACCCAGGACCCCCCCCCGCTGGAGTGTCAAGGTGGTGTGTGAGCTCAGAGACCCCCACATTAAACCCACAACCTCCTGACCCAAGGGCAACCGAGCCAGATGTTGCTGACCCTCGCGACAGACACGTAAACAGGAAGTGCAGCCAGGAACACAAGTTTCAAGAGGTCACTTTCCTTTTGTGGGAACTTACATCAAGTTAGCCTTCAGAACCAGAGATCAGATTGGGGGGATTTGGGGACTGTGAGTCCTATAGCTAGGTGGTTAGAACGCTCACCTCGTAAGCGAGAGGACCCGGGTTCAAAAAATAATAATAATCTGGTCGCTCACTCCATGACCGTTTGTGGGGACGCTGCTGTGTGAATTGGCTGCCGTGTTTTACTCATAAAATACACAGTCAGTTCAGTTTACAGTATAATCTGTGAAGCGCTTTAAGAAAACAGTCTGAGGTTCACAAACCCCAGACTACTTTTCCGGATGAAACGCAGCAGCCAATTTGCACACAGGAAATCATTATTGTTTGGGTCATTTTTGGTTAAATGGAAGTTGTTGTTATTTAATAAGAAGAAGAATAGGGACTTCACCCCCAATAATGTAGTGCCCCACCCAGCACTGGGCCTGGACTGTGCGAATTCAAAGCTCCCTGCTTGGGGAGGGGGGGGGGGGGGTTGAACCCAGAAGTTTCTGAGCGAGAGGTGAGGTCGCGGTTGACGGAGCCAGGCTGACACCTTTGGCAACCCACTGACTAAATCCTCCCGTCACTGCCACAGCTCAGCGCAGTAAATCAGCCGTCAAACACTGGCAAAGGAACAGAGTTGAGGGGGCCACGTGTTTGATCTGCCCCAACGGGGAGGGAGGGAGAGAGGGAGGGCAGCGAGGCAGAAGGTGAAAGGCTGAGGGAACAAAGATGATGATATTGTGGTATTTCTGTACTTTAAACCTCACGAGGCTTCGATGGCACATGGCTTCTCTGCTCTTGGCACGTGACCGACTGGGGAATCGCGTGCCTCAGTGATCAGCCGCCCGTTGGCTTTTCTGTGCATGAGCAACGCGGGAGCTGGGAATAAAACACGTTTAGGACATGTGGCAGCACAGCAATGAGGAGACACACTGTGGTGCAGTGATTACAGCACTCGCCTCGCAAGCGAGAGGGCCCGGGTTCAATTCCCAGCCGGGCAGGACAGGGCGAAACCTTACGTTTCTTTACTCCAAACACCCACACGCACCTCGTTTTATCTGGACACTGACTGACGTTATTATTACTTGTTGTTATTATGGACCGCAATACGTGTAGAGGCGTGTGTGGCGGGGCAGAAGCATTACGTGACTTCGCAGAACACGCGTGAGGCAGCCAGCGTTTGGCTCGGCACAGATGGGTACCCAGTAGCCTTGGCAATGGGCTGGCAAACAAAAGCCAAGGTTGAAAGGGCAAGGGCATCCTTTCAAAATAACACCAAAATTTGCTAAGACCAACGCAGACGTCTGGTTCGCCTTCCACTAACCATCCAGACAGACGCTTGCACACACGTCATGTCCCCAAACTATATACTGTCCCCCACCGCCCCCCCACCCCCCACCGGCGCCCAGATATTATTCCCTAACAGAAATTTATCTTATTTGTTCTTGAAAGAATGAACACTTTCTCCTTCCACTCTATGTCTGTCTGTCTGGGGAACCTCTTCTGTACGTATAGTAACTCACTCACTGAAGTAGTGTTGTAGTGTTTCTGCAGATTTGTTCTGAATTTACCCCCCCCCACCACCCCCGCACTCCTTATTTTTTCTCTGGCAAGAAACACGGAGAACAGTTTTCAGCTACACATTTCCAATGCCAACGGTTCACTCGTCAGAAGCTTCCTCTCCTCCGAGCGGATAAGTGATCCGTCAGCATCTGCTAATGTCTTTTGTTAAGTATTTAGCTCTTGCGGTTATAAGCTTTCATCCCAGCTCAGCATCGGACCCACACGTAAGCCTTGAGTGGGGTTTGCCTCTTGCCAGTTTCCTTCCTTCCTGCCTTCTCTCTCCCTCTCACTCCTCTCCTCTATGTTCCTCATCTCTCCCTCTCTCTCTCTCCCCATAATAATCCCTTCAAAAAAATATTAAGGTGTTCACCCAAATCTAATGATCGTTGTGGGGACACTGCTGTGCGCAATTGACTGCGAAGCGCTTGGAGACGTCTCGACAACGTGATACGACGCTGTATCTAAAGATCTTCCTTTTTGATTGTGCTTACGGTCACCTCCCAGCCCCCTTCCCAGCCCTCTCGCCCCCTCCCCCTGGCTTGGTGTCGGCCTCTGACACTGGGAAGCTACCCTGTGTGAAGGGCGCCATATAAGTGGAAGTTGTCGTTGTGTATTACTGTTATAACAATAATAACGTAATGTTGGGAGGACGTCTCAAAGCGCTTTGTGGGACCCGCCCTGACACGTAAGCCACACATTTTCGTGTTTTGTGGGCGAAACGGTTCGAAAAACGCCGATGATCAGCCCATGGACCGGGAGACTGCAGGTCACCGGCAGGGCAGCAGCGCGGCAGGAATCTGCACCAAAGCATTGCCGTCAGCAGTTGGTCGCTCCTGTTTGCGTTGCAATAGGAAATGCAATTTGCACGGCAGGATCCCAACTCAATTCAATCATCGCAGACTCAATCGGGGCTTTTAGACACTCAACAGAACAGGAAGGACAGAGGCCTTCGATCCATCCGCAACACGCGGCCTGCGATCAAGGGGTGCGGGAGGGAGGGGGGGGTAGGGAGGTAAATTCCGGGAGACAGACAGACGGTGGAGGCTCAAAGTGTTGATTCTTTCGAAAGCAAATGTCTTAGGAAACATTCTGTTAGGAAATAATTCCCTCCGAGAACAACAATAATAGTAATCACTTGGTCGCTCAATCCACGCACGTTTGCGGGACGTCGCTGGGCGCCATTGGCCACAAAATGTACAGTCACTACACTTTACGGTAGATTCCGTGAAGGGCTTTGAGACGTCTGAACGACGTGATGAATGGCTGTACCAAGTGCAAGGATTATTATTATTATTATTATTTAGCTCCCAGTCACTACGGAACAGTACCCAGCGAAGGGCGGGAGGTCAGGAGAAAATTGAAGGAAAAAATTGGAATCACAAAATTGGTATAAAATCTCAGAGCTGTGAGTCTCGTCCTGTTACAGGGAATATCTCAGCGCTGCTTATATTAGCGACCAACCTGTGATCACACAGACTGAGAGAGGGAGAGAGGGAGGGAGCGGGTGATCTGTAGCTGAGGGAGCAAATTGGCTGCCGGGTTCGTTCACAAAACACAGTCACTACATTTCGTGGTAAAAAAAAATATCCCGCTGTGCGCTTTGAGACGTCCTCTGGATGTGAAAGGTGCTGTGTCAACCCAAGGATTGACGTGTCTATAATAATAATAATCCTTGCATTTGACAGCACCTTATCACATCGCCGAGACGTCTCAAAGCGCTTCACGGAATACACCGTAAAGTGTAGTGACTGTACATTTTGTGGGCGAAACGCGGCAGCCAACTGCGCACAGCAGCGTCCCCCACAAACAGCCGTGGATTGAGTGACCAAATTATTATTTTTTTAAGGGGATTATTACCCCCAGAAAGTGATCCCCCGAATCGACTAACAACCGGGTTCCCACGACTGCTGATGAACAGAGGCGTGTGTGTGGAGTAAGGAAACTCGCCCACGGCTTCACCCCGTCTCTCGGTCGCTGGAATCTCGACTACACTGATCTCCAGTGACATCAGCTAATGCTTTAAAAGGGGAGATTTGAGATGCAGGGAACCGGGAATCTGGGGAACGTCGGTCTGACAGGCTGCGATAGAGCTTCTAACCACCCCCCCCCCCCCCGCACCACCGCCTCCCCACAAAACCCCAGGTTAGCGTTGGGGTGCGCGGGGGGGGGGGGGGAAACGGGGGGAAAGTTAGAGGCTCCAGCCCTTTTATGTCACTAGGAGCGGTCAAAACCATAGAGGCAGAAGTCTCAGTGCAGAAAGAATTTTCTCTTGCGAAAGCAACGATGGGTTGGGGGGAGGGGGGGAGGAAGAGGGAGGGGGAGAGAGAGGGGGGTGGGGGGAGGGGGAGAGGCTTTGGGATTCAAGCCAGTCCTCTCTGTTTTTTTCCCCAGACAAAAATAACTCCTGTTCCATTCCATTTTTCTCAGTTAAAGAACTCCGCCACGCTGCTGGAAATACAGGAGTCTCCCTCTCTCTCTCTCTCCCTCCCTCCCTCTGACTCCTTTTTTCTCTCTCTCCACGACATCCCTGTGTGCAAATCGACTGCCCGCGAGACGCACAGTCACTACACCTCACCGTGAAACTACTAGTCATCCTCAAATGCGCTCCGTATCGCAATAAAACCCCAATTGACAATAACCACAACAATCCGCGCATTTGATACAGCGCCTTATCACGTCTTCGTGACGTCTCAAAGCCCCTCACAGAATAAAGTGTAGTGACTGTATATTTTGTGGGCAAAAAGCGTCAGCCAATTGTACAAGGATTATTATTATTATGATTATTATTAATAGTATTATTCTGATTATTATTACAGTGAGCTGGGTGCTCCCCTCACCATCCCCTCCCTCAGTCTCTGATCTCCTTTCAGAAACCTACGCGGTGACGGGCAGCCAGGGCAGTGTCTCGGTGTCGGCTCAGCGCCCGCCCTCCGCAGGCTCGGCCCCCGGCTCCCCCGGCAGCAAGCGCTCGGTCAGCACGCTGAAGAAATGGCTGACCAGCCCAGTGCGCAAACTCAGCAGCGGCAAAGCAGACCGTCAGGTCAGGAAACTGGAGACCAAGCTCAGGAAGGCAGAGCGTCGCAAGAGCCTGGACGAGAGGAAGAGGAGCGAGGACTTTGGTGTCGTCAACAAAGTGGAGGAGAGCAGCCCCTCATCCCAGGACAGAGTAGGAATTCCTTCCTTTCACTGGGCGGTGTCAGCCCGAAACTCTGGAACTCTCTCCCTCCCTCCCTCCCTCCGCCTTGCCCATCCCGGCCTCCGCCTTGCCTTCTCCCCACTTCCAAATCCTTTCTAAAGACCTTCCTTTCGGATCGTGCTTACTGTCATCTCCCCCCCCACCATTTCCCCCCCCCTCTCTCTCCCCACCCCTCTCCGGCTCGGGGTCAGACTCCACCCCTGCGCTCCGGGACGCTACCCCAGGTGAAGTTGTTGTTGTTGGCTGTATTGCCCCAATGGTAACATTAACCAATGTTATTCCTGTTAACCCCGCAAGCCAAAGCCCTGACAGTCAGGGTGGTTCTCGCCTGCAAAGTACACAATCACCGCACTTAACAGTGATCTACCTCGATGACATGACAAGCCGCTGCACTAAACACAATGATTATTACTGATATTAATTCTGTATATTTCGTGGTCGATTCACTTTACGGTGTATTGTTTGAAGCGCTTTGAGAGGTGATGAGGCGCTTTACCAAATTCAAGGACGAATTATATTATTATTCTTAACTTTGGACGAAACTTTGAAGGTTCCACGTCGGTATCGCGGGCTAAACAAAACAGCGTGTTACTTTGCACATCGTAATTAGTGCGAAGAGGGCAGGCAGCTCAGAGAGTCTCGCACGTACTGTCGGGGTGTGAGGTTGGTGTGTCTGTGAACAGCAGCACCAAGATGTGAAGTTATATGAGGAGACATCTGTTACACAACGCCAACACTGCCAACAACGTCATAGAACCATAGCGCACAGGGAGGCCATTCATCCTCATCCAGTCTGCCCTGCCTCTCAGAGCAAATTGTCCATTAAACCCCACTGCCCTGTTCTACCCCTCACCTCTATTTCAAGCCTCTTTCCTTCATATTCCCGGGCAGGTCAGGGCGAAACCTTCGGCAAGTTCCTCGCTCCACACATATGCGCCTCTGTTTATCTAGCAGTTTAGTAGGAACCCGCTTGTTAGTCGATTGCTTTCCGGGGATAATAATCCCTTCAACCAAATAATAATAATTTTGTCATTAATCAATCCATGACTGTTTGTGGAAAATCACTGTGTGCAATTGGCTGCCGCGTTTCGCCCACAAAATACAGTCAATTCACTTTGCAGTGTATCCCGTGAAGCGCTTTGAGACGTCTTGACATTGTGGTACTATCAAGTGCAAGGATTATTATGGTTGTTGTTGTTGGTGACGACAGAGCGAATGGAGGGAGGAGGTGGCAGGAAGCAGGCTGCCGAGCGAGCTGGCAGAGGATGGAGAATCCGAGCCCTCATCACTACCGACTGCCGTCCAGCACAGAGAACAGCCAGAGCAGCTCACTGTGGTGAGAGCGAGATCCCAATTACATTCACGCTCTTTCTGTCTGTCTTCCCAATGCTCTGGGCTGTGCCACTGCTGATCAGTGGTGAACAACAACATCATTATCATCAATAATATCTCCTGTTAAGAATCCCCCGTAGCTCAGTGGTTACAGCCCTCGCCTCGAAAGCGAGAGGACTTGGGTTCGATTCCCTGGGCGGTTGGGGCAAAACCTTAGCAAGTTTCATTACTGCACACGCACACGCGCACACACACACGCGCGCGCACACACACACACACACACACACGTGTGCCACTGTTTGCCAGCAGTAAGTAGGAACCAGATTTTTAGTCGAATGGGGGAAATCACTTTCTGGGGATAATAATCCCTTTGAATGAAAAACGAATAATTTAGTTACTCAACCCACGACTATTTGTGGGGACGTCGCTGTGGGCAATTGGCTGCCGCATTTCGCCCACAAAACATACAGTTCACTACACTTTACAGTATAGTTGCAAAGCCTTTTGAGATATCTCAACGACATGATAAGGCGCTGTATCAAATGCAAGTGTTATTATTATATAGAAGGTGCCTGTTTCCTAGGTACAAGACCCCACTTTGCTCAGCCTGGTACCAGATGGTGCTTCGAGTTCCTTGTTCAACCACCCGAACGGACTACTCACACACACGACTCCACAAATAGACGAGGAGGAAGAGAGGAGGAGCGCTCTGGAGAAGAGTATGTAAGTGGAGGAGTCCCAAACATTCCCATTCACTCTCGGACAGATTACTGTGTTAAATTCTCGTCAGATCAAAAGACTTCCTTGAGGAGCCAGTGAAGTCTCTCTCTCTCTCTCTCTCTCACCACTAATTCCCTTTGCTCCTCTCGCCTTTCATTTCACAGGTATGTCCTGCGGGAACTGATAGAAACAGAGAAACTGTACGTGACGGATCTGGGGTTTATAGTGGAGGTTAGTGTGTTCGTCGTCGTTGTTATTATGATGATGATTTTGTGGCTATGTCCACCCTTTGGATAAGGCTCTCTCTCTCTCTCACTCTCCTCTAGGGTTACATTGCCACCATGAACGAAAAAGGAGTTCCCGAAGACATGAGAGGCAAAGACAAGATTGTGTTTGGAAACGTTCATCAGATCTACGAGTGGCACAAGAAGTAAGATGCTCACTCCACCCCTTCCTCTTTCGCTCACACTCACTCACCCTTGTTTCCCCCCTCATTCCCCCTCCCTCACTGATTGGAGTTGAGGTACATGATCCAATGAACGGCGGAACAGGCTCAAGGGGCTGAAGGGCTTACTCCTTTTCCTATGTTCCACCTCGTACTCCCACCCTCACTCCTCCCTCACTCTCTGTCTCTCTCATTGTCAGCTATTTTCTGGGAGAGCTGGAGAAATGCATTGAGGAGCCGGACAAATTGGCTGAGCTGTTTATCAAACACGTGAGTCTCCGCGACACAGTCACTACACTTTACGGTATATCCTGTGAAGCGCTTCGAGACGCCTCGAAGATATGAGAAGGCGCTGTATCAAATGCAAGGATTACTATTATAATAATAAGTCACAAGTCCGGTTATCCTCTGTATCCCTCACTCCTGCCTGTATCCTGTGTATAATCGCTGCTGTTTTGCAGGAGAGCGGCTCCACATGTACGTGGTTTATTGCCAGAACAAACCCAAGTCAGAGCACATCGTGTCCGAGTACATCGACACCTACTTCGAGGTAAGTGTAGAACCAGACAGACTTCTCTTTGAGTCCCGCTCACTCGGTGTCTGGGAACCCTACATAAACAATCCTGTGGGTATTTTTTTGGGGGGGGGGGGGAGGAATCAGCCAGGCGTCCGACACACACGGAAACTCATCACCGTTGCTTAAGAGTCTCCAAACCAAACAGAGTTCCACACGTCCCACCCACACATGGAAATCCCAGATAGATTGTTGGAATGGAACGCGCTCTCTCTCTCTCTCTCTCTCTGGAGGGATGCAGACGGCTTACCTGGAGTCCTGTAGCTTAGTGGTTAGAGCACTCGCATCGCAAGCAGAGGACCTGGGGGGTTCCATTCCCTGGCAGGGGCAAAACCTTCGGCAAGATTCCTTATTCCACACACTTCTGTTCACCTAGAAGTAAGTAGGATTCCCGTTAGTCGATTGGCGGATCGCTTTTCCAGGGGGTAATAATCCCTTAAAAAAAAGAAAATTTGCTCACTAAATCCACATCTGTTTGTAGGGACTTTGCCGTGCGCAATCGGCTGCCACGTTTCGCCCACAAAGCACAGTCACTGCACTTTAAAGTATATTCTGTGAAGCGCTTTTGAGACTCTCGAAGATATGATCTACATCAAATGCAAGGATTACTATACTACCGTATTCCGGAGGGTATTAAGCGCAGGTTGGGCAAGAGCCAAGGCTTGGGGGGAGCCCAGAGTTTTGGTTTGGATCAGGACCTGTGGTAATATTTCTGTTATCTCATCTTTCAGGATCTGAAACAGCAACTTGGCCACAGACTTCAACTCAACGATCTGCTCATCAAACCCGTGCAGAGGATCATGAAATACCAACTGCTGCTCAAGGTGAGATTACTGACTGCTCCGTCTGTCCCTCACTCAGCTCAGTCTGTCAGCCTGGCGCTATCTCACCTCTGAGTCAGAAGGTTGTGGGATACAGTCTGTAGCTTGGGACACGACATGTGCAAGCGACTGTCCAGGATGGTTGGTGGAAGGCGAACGCGATGGACCTTGGTCTTCTTTCGCCTTAGCAAATTCTTACGTTCCATCTGAGCACCACCTAGAGGGGATGTTTATAAGGAACTTTCTGTTAAGAAAGAAAGATCATGGAAAACTTCTATCACGTCAAAACCTCAACCCCAACCCAACCTGCATGTCACATGCCAATTCTCAAATCTCAAAACCTGCTTCACGTGTAATTACTGCCAAATGTAGTGACTGTTTTCTGTGGGCAAACCCACAAACGGCAGCAGCAACAACTTGTTCCGCAATTTTTTTTTGTTTATCCCAGGATTTCCTGAAATACGCCACAAAGGCTGAGGTGGACACCTTGCAGTTGGAGGTACAGTCGTGCTCTCCTCCGCCTCGATCCCTCCCTCGCTTGCTCCCTCCCTCGCTCCCGCCCCACCTTCAACCTGCTTACCGTATTATGGAGAGTATTAGGCACAGGCTGGCTTGGGGATGCTATGTAAACGCAAGTGTCAAAGCGCGTAGTTTGACTCAGAGCCTGGGAAAGAGAGGAGAGGTGACCGTAAGCACGTCAAAGTGGAAAGTCTTCAGGTGAAGATGGGAAGAGAGATGACCAGGCAAAGGGATTGAGACAGGGAGGGTCCAGAGGGTCAGGTATAGAGATTGCACCGATGGTGGGGGGGGAGAGGGAACGAGGGGAGTGTGCGCGTGTTGAGAATCCTGAGCTGACTGACCTCGTTTCCTCGCTGCCTCACTCCTGCAGAAAGCCGTCGAGGTGATGTGTTTCGTTCCTCGACGATGCAACGATATGATGAACGTGGGCCGTTTGCAAGGCTTCGAGGTAATAATGAGCCACACGTTTCATACAGATCTCGTTGCATATACACACACCACGACCTTGAGACGTCCTCCAAACATGAAAGAAAGGGCCTAATATAAATGTCATTTCATACTGAAACATAGGGAGAAACTGTTTCCTCTGGCGGGCGAGTGGGTCGGTACCAAAGCACACAGATAATTGGCAAAGGAACCGGATGGGGAGATTTTTTTTATTTTTTTTTGCCCAGAGAGTTGTTACGGCCTGGAACGGGCTGCCTGAAAGGCGGGTGGTGGAAGCAGAATCAACAGTAGCTTTCGAAAGGGGATTGGATAGGGACTTGAAAAGGAGGAATGTGCAGGGCTTTGGGGTAAGAACGGGGGGGAGTTGGTAGTTTTTTTTCCAGGGAACCGGCACAGGCACAATGGGCGAATGGCCTCCTTCTGTGCTGCAATAGTCTACGATAACACCTGCTTCCCTACGTCTGACAATAATTACCAAAAAGTTTGATAATAAGCCGTGAATTTACAATGCCTTTCATCAAGCGATTGATTAATTGTGCTGCGCAAACTCTTCGGATCGAGTCGCCCTAACTCACTCAGTCTCCTCGACTCTCTCTCTCTCTCCACCCCCCCCCGCCGCCCCCACCACCACCTCTTCCCCCCCACTCTCCCCAATTTTCTAGGGAAAAATCACGGCTCAAGGAAAGCTGCTCCAGCAGGACACGTTACAGGTGATGGAGCAGGATTCCGGCTTCCTGTCCCGCAGTAAGGAACGCCGTGTCTTCCTGTTCGAGCAGATCGTGATCTTCAGTGAACCTCTGGATAAGAAGAAAGGATTCTCGCTCCCGGGATACATGTTTAAGAACTGCATCAAGGTAATGGGCGCTGAACTGTTCGTTCATCCCTGTTAAGACAGAGGTTTTTCTCTGATAGTCTCCCAACCTTTAAACCCTACCTTCCTTTTCGATCGTACCTACGGTCACCAAACCCCTCCCCCACTGGCTCGGCATCAGACTCCGCCACTCTCAAGCACTCTGAGACCCTCTCCCACGTGAAGGGTGCCATATAAGTGCAAGTTGTTGCTGCGCTGGAGCCCACTTTGCTTCCAAATCCTCTTTCGTTGGAGCAGAGAAGGTCGAGAGGATTCTGGATCATGATAATCGGGTTGTTAACAACAGGGATTGGACTCGAGCTGGGGGTTGGGAATCAGGAGGGATGGAGGGCAGACATAGGAGGATAATGGAAGGCGCAGTCAAAGTGGAGGGTCTTGAGACGAACCTTGAAGAAGGCAAGGGAGGAGGGGGCGAGGCGATGTCTCATCCAAAGGACGTGATGTAAGGCAGGGCAGTGGGATTGGAATGAACTCCCAACTCTGAGGGTCTGTGCGGACTCGATGGGCCAAATGGCCTCCTTGTGTACAGTAGATTTCCGAGTGTTTGTGTTTCCTTCAGGTCAGCTGCCTGGGTCTAGAAGCTTCTGTGGACAACGACCCCTGTAAATTTGCATTGACCTCACGAAGGACAGATGGAAACGTGCTCCGTTACGTGTTACAAGCCGCCCATCCCGACATCCAGCAGGCCTGGGTCTCCGACCTCAGCCAGATCTTGGAAACACAGCGGAATTTTCTCAACGGTACGTGAGACTGCGTCCCCTTTAACTGTGATCTAATTTTGTGGAGCCCTTGTGGAGTGGTTAGAACACTCGCCTCGCAAGCGAGAGGAACCGGGTTCGATTCCCGGGCCGGTCAGGGCTAACCCTTAGAGGCAAGTTTCCTTACTCTACACACAGGCGCCTCTGTTTACCTAGCAGTAAGTAGGAACCCGGTTGTTAGTTGATTGGCGGATCGCTTTACGGAGATAATAATCCCTCCAAAAAATAATAATTTAGTCACTCAATCCAAGACTGTTTGTAGGGCACTCCTGTGCTCAATTGGCTGCTGCGCTTCGCCCTCAAAGTACCCAGTCACTCCACCTTACAATATATCCTGTGAAGCATTTTGAGACATCGCAACGACGTGATGAGGAGCTATGTCAAACGTGAGGATTATTACAAACGTCTTTGATAAGTTGACAGTGGATTATTAGGCATTGAGGTCGGATCTCTTGTCTCTCTCTCTCCACAGCTCTCCAGTCCCCTATCGAATACCAACGAAAGGAGAACAAATCTAACAGCTTGGGGCGGCCTCGAGACCCCAGGACAGCTAAGCCTCCCTCGGCCGGGATGAGACCCCACTCCTCGGCCTCCATGGACAGAAACCAGTTCCCCTCTCTGAAGGCCTATAACGAATCTCTGCCAGCTCTGTTTCTCTCCAGCCACAGGAGCCCCAGTCTTAACCGGGGCAAGGTAAGCCACGCACACTCCTAGGCACCTCGCTAGGCCCCTGTGCCAACAAACCCTGGCCAACGACTATTGCTCAGAGCTTCAGACCCTCTGAACTCACTGTGTCGAGCGAAGTTTGGCGTCTTGTGGAGTCCCCTGGCCGAGTGGTCACAGATCCCACGGCCCATTCGGAAAGAGAAGTGAATTGCTCTCTCCCGGTGTCCTGGCCAACAATCCCCCAGATAAAATTGGACACTCACTCAACGGCTATTTGTGGGGACGCTGCTGTGCGCAATTGGCTGCTGCGTTTGGCCCACAAAATACACAGTCATTTCACTTTACATATATGCCGTGAAGCGCTTTGAGAAGGGAATGACAAAAATATTGCTTATGCAGCCTGCAGACATTTCTCAAATCAGCAGCCAAAAGGTTGGACCCCTGGTGTCTTGAGCTAACCATCTCTTTCTCTGTTCCTCTGGTACAGACCCCCGACGATGGGATTTCCAGCAAATCCAGCCACCACACTGAAAAACCAACAAGCAGACGCAAAAACAGCCAGGACCACAGTAAGCGTGACGAGAGCAAGCTATAAAAAGGACGGTTCTTTTTTGAACTCAACAGAACTGCAGTTCAGAAGCGGACCCCCAGCCTGTGGGTCAGGGTCATTAGTGTACAAGACCGTGAGCTAATTGGCAGAGCCAGCAGGTCAACAGGTTTGGCACAGATTGGCACAGGAGTGTCAAAGTGAATCAAAAGATACGGGATCTTACGAGGACAAAAGGGAGCAGTTTCCGCTGTGAGTTTGTACATCGTTCATTCACTGCCTCTGGGATATCATTCTCGCTTTATGTATCTACCGACTCCCCGCTTTGGTGCCCAAAATAATCCAACATAACACCTGGAAGACTATCTTATTAAAGAGTGGGTTGGTCACGCGTGGAAAGTGCTCTCACACAAAGAGACAGGCATTAACTCCACGGCCCTCTGGCTCCGAATGGGACCCAGGCCAATTCTATCAAAGCGGAATGAGGTTGCAGTTGGATTGCGGAGAGATCAAAGAGTATTACTATTAATCGTTGCCCTGAAACATCTTTGACCGAGACACCCGCAGTTTCGAGTGGAATATTTGGTGTCGACGCGCCTCGCTCCCTGAACCCAGCTGGAATGGGAAATGTTGGGAGCCATCTGAACAGGATTGGAGAGTCAGCAGGTTTGAGGTTTGATACCCGCCTTTCAAACGGCCGACACAAATACCCACACATTCGCACCAACAAAGTCTCCTCGAAAACATGCGACCATAGCTGCTCTAACATACCCCCAGCGTAGCAAAGCTGTCATGGCTGCCTTGCTGCCTGCAAACAACAACTTGCATTTATATAGCGCCCCACATCTTAGGTGCTCTGTTAAACAGTAATCCCTTCAAAAAAATGTTTTTAAAAAAAGAAGTTTCGGTCACTCGATCCATGACTGTTTGTGGGACACTACAGTGCGCGATTGGCTGCCGCGTTTCGGCCACAAAATATAGTCAATTCACTTTATAGCGTATTTTGTGAAGCGTTTTGAGACGTCTCGAAGATCTGATAAGAGTGCTGGATCAAATGCAAAGATTATCATCATATTATTGCGGTTGGGGATGGAGTCAAGGGGAAGAATCTTGCAACATAGAGGATTAGGCACCAAAGTTATAGCAAGATCAGGTCAATATATGTCCCATTCACAAACCAGCGCCAAGCACCAAGGAGATGTCAGAGGGGCATTAAAAGGAACCGGCAAAAGGTAACAAATAGAGAAGAATATTTGGGATCTCATTAGTTCCCCGTTGCTGGCAATCTTCTCTCACACGTCTGTCGTCTTGTTGTCACGCAGTACCTGGGAGGACTAGGAGTTCCGCCCTGCTGAACATTTGTTATGTATCATACTCCCTGTATATGCATGTTTTAATAAAAGATCATCTCTTCAAAAAACGCTGCAAGTGTGAATGTGTGTTATACCGAACAGAGCTTTACCGCCGCACGGGTCGTCATTTGGCTCCTGGCTACTGTGTTCAGCCGCAAATCACAGTCACACTACTTTTAGAGTACACCTTGTGAAGCACCTTGAGACTTCTCGACAACATACGGCATTATTTTCAAAATTCTTTCGGGGAGGGGGCCATAAACCCATCGAAAGAAAATAATTATTCGGCCACTCAATCCACGACACCGCTGTGCGCAATTGCCTGCCGCGTTTCAGCCACAGAATACAGACAATTCACTTGACAGTTTATTGTGTGAAGCGCTTTGAGACGCCTCAATGATAAGGCACTATATCGAATGCAAGGATTATTATTATTATTATGATGAACTTCCTTTGAAGATGGCCACAGCTAAGCAGTGCCATCTATAGGTCATTAAGTTCCATTACTTTCCCCAACAAGAAGTGCACAAAGTTTGCTTACTTCACAACAGAATCAAACTCCTTCACCGATGCTACTTACTGATCTGCACGACGTTCACCATTCCAGCGAGAAAAAAGGGACTTTCGCCCTCGAGAAACATCAAGCAGCGTTATTTCATAAGGTTTAGCCTTCCACCATCCTGGCGATCGCTTGACGTGTCGTGTCCCAAACTACATGCTATTTCCTAAAAAAATCTATTCAATTTGTTCTTGAAAGAATTAATGCTTTCTGCTTCCACCATCTGGGAGTCTGTTCCATACCTTTATTACTCGCTCACTGAAGTAGCGTTTCCCGCAGACTTGTTCTGAATTTACCCCCTCCCCCTTCAATCGCAGGCCACGTCCTCTGGTTTTACTGTTCAGTACAAGATAAAACAGCTTATCACGTTCTACAACGTCTATCCAATCCCTTCAGAATCTTAAACAAAAACAGAGCGAGGGGGAAAACTCAGCAGGTCAGGCAGCGTCTATGGAGAGACAGGAAAGTGAGTCAACGTTTCGGGTCCACGACCCTTTGTCGGAACTCTGTTTTTGTTTCAGATTTCCAGTATTTTGTGTTTTGCCCTTTAGAATCTTGATGTGCTAAGGAAGAAATTCATAAGACAGGGAGAGACAATCAGACATCGACTACCATCTTTATTGATGGATCCAAAGCAAAATACTGTACACTTTACAGCATCCAAACTATAATTTCACAGTAAACTACATTAAAACAGTTTTTTTTGTATTTATTTAAAAAAAAGGAGAAAGTTACTACACATTTAAGATGTATAAAAGTCTAAATTTTTTTCGGTGGTTTTCAACTATAACCTGAGTGGTCCAAGAAGTTTTAAAAACCTATACTGTACAGTAATAATTACTAAAGCTTGGTAACTTGAGAGAGCAAGATTGGGTTATTGTGAAGCTCGTCAGGCCATCTGACAATAGCCCTGGCGTGAGAATCAATGAGAGCATCCTATAACCAACCTGACCATGTTGAGACTAAGTCATTCTGTCTTTGGTCAGCCGGGTGTCTGACACACACGGAGACCTATTACCGGGCTTAGTAGTATCCAAACCAAGCTGAGATTCCATGCATCCCACCTACACATGGAAATCCCAGAGATATATTGGAATGGAATGCGCAATCTCTCCCTGGAGGGACGCATCCTGCTTACCTAATTCCGGAGAGAATTAGGCACGGGTTGGTGGGGCCCAGAGTGTGGTTGGGGTAAATGCTGGAGTCTAAGGAGCTTAAACCACATAGCTTGCCATTGACATCATTGTTTGGCAAGCTTTCCCGCTGTTTGTCCAGCTAGGACCAACCTTCCCGTTAGGACTTTGGTTTGCAGGGTTAACAGGAGCTGAGTGGAATGACTCCTCGCCCCCAGTGGTTGGTCTGCCCTTCCAGAACTGACGATGAACCAGGTTGGGCTGTCATCAGCAGGAATACTGCCTGGCTCAGGATCCAGACTAGAGACCCTCACAGAGCTGGCTCAACTCCAACACTCTGTTTCCAAGCATGTCACCTTGGAGCCAATTCAGTTCCAAGGAGACCCCACTTAACCCCCCCACCCCTGCTGAACACTTCCTACCACAAAATTCAATCCAACCAGTTTCTGGAATTCTCATCGTGAGCTCACACCAGGCCCATTGAGCTACCCTCTCTAATCTTTATCTTAAGGACATTTAACACTTCATGGCTATAATTAGTTTCATTTTTTTTTGGGGGGGGGGGAAAGAGAGGGACGGAAAGAGAAAGAGAAAAAAAAAGGTTATTGGTCCCAATAATTTCATTAAAAAAATTAAGGATGATCAAAAAGTCTGGTGACTCAGAAAAATTTAAAAAAAACATACACAAAATAACAGACTAAAAATGTTAAAAAAAAGAGCGGGTTCTGTGCAAGTCTTGGAAGAGAATGGACGGACTGGTCGGAGGATGAGTCCTTAGGTTAAAAGCAAATTACAGAACAGCAAATTACAATTGTATAGCGCCCTTCATGTCGGAAAGGTATCCCAGGACGCTAGACGGTGAGGGCGTTTTGGACCCGAGCTGGGAGTTGGGGTCAGGAGGGGTGAAGGACAAAGGGGTTGGCAGTGGGAGGGTGGCCGAAGGCACAGTCGAAGAGGAAGGTCTTTAAACAGAAGTAAACAAGAAACTATTCAGAAGCAATGATGAACTCCAATTGCCTGTAATTTGGTTCTGAAGCCAAAGAGCCTTGTGCTAATCAGTCATCCTTTGATCATTCTTAACCGCAACCAGATCACAGTGAGATAAAGATCCAAGCAAGAAAGGGAGAGACCGCACAAGATCATCAGGCCAAATCCAATTTGTGGGCTCGAGTAAGGTGCCAACATCACACAATACTGCTGCACAATATGTGCAAGACTCAATAAAGTCAGTAAATCCTCCACTCATTTCTCCGCTCTGCGAAACTGACATATACTCCATCAATAATAATCATTCGGGATGGTTTGAGCAGTCACATTCTCATCCACCCCCAAAGTGTCAGCCTGTATAAATAGGACAGCGGTTCACAGAAAAACTTTTAATATATGCAAACGGAGAAATTGTGCAATGGCCTCAGTTCAGACTTTAAGTGTTACATTTCCTGTCTGGTCTCACCTTTCGATCGTACAACCTACCCCTTACCTATAGTGAGGGCAGCAATGGCAAAACAAACCAGGCGTGCGTTATTGGAGAAATCATAATCATAATAAAAGGTGGAATGAGACAAGAACATATGGCGGACAGTCAGTCAGAACCAGCCAAGCCGTGTATTCAAGAGAATTTCAGGCCATTTCTATTCCCAGGATATATTAAGAGGGTTAAAGGTTCTCTGTAATACTACGATTTAATCCCCTGCGAATACTGATAAAACAATACATTTAATTCCAATGGCACAAGGCTAGCCTTGGATCAAGGGGCTTCTAATAGCTTATATATAAGAGAGGAAGCTCTGTAGACTAGTTGTACCTCAGTGCAATTAAATCGCTCAAAATGCAAACAAAATCTAAATTAGTGTATTAAAAAAAGACCCATCTAACTGGGAATGATTGAGTGAACGAATAGGTGGGATTCACTTGCACCCATTCATCAAACTTCAATAGGTTAAGCCAGTGGGAGGTCCAACCTTTCGGCTGCCCCATCTGAGAAAAGTCCGCAGGCCGCACACCAATATTTTGTGTTCCCCTTCCAGAAACATAACAACATTCACGGATTATGGAGGGTGGGGGTGGCCAGATGAAATGGAGGGAAGGGGGGCCGCCAGTTGGACCACCCTGGCTTAAGCACTAAACACTCTCTGCCCATGTTTCCTAAAACCATATTAAAAAAAAACACTTTTATTTATTGTACAAAATATCCTTTTGAAAAGAAACTTGTTAACATGCAAAAGAGGACCAATTAGTGCTAAAGCATGCGCTCAACCCAAGGGGAGGGGAATCGTGTTCATCCAACGGATTATACACTAAAGTGCTCCTACAATGGGGAGTGAGCGAGCGAGAGGGAAGGAATCAAGATTATTGCAGTTCTAGTTTTAGTTCACAATTCTGCTTCTAGCTACCTATTCTATCAAGTTATGCACTTATTTGTGAAGTTAACTGCGTGTGTCATAATGATTGTCATACTGTGACGTCTACAGACATACATACATATTGCTACGGTCTTTATTTAACTAGGTCGTGAGGGGGGAGGCAGAGGGGGAAAAGAGCGAGGTTGTGGGGTTACGACAATTCTACTCAAGTTAGAATCTGGGTGATACTGTGTGTAGGTTGGGGTGCAAACCCCCTTTCCCCCCTACTCCTTGCCTCTGTAGTTTAGTGTTGAAACAAAAACACACACCCCCAATCTGCCGAGGTTTGTCACTAACGTGTAGTGTGGAAGACAGTTTTTCGGCACCCCCTCCCCCCGGTTGTTGGCCGGAGGTTATTCCTGGGCGAGTGCGGGCGATGGCGGCTCCGACACCGGGCTCCAGTGGGAGTGGAAGGAGGCTGTGACCGTCTGTGATGGGGCAGAGGGGCCGAGGCTCAGTGAGGGCGCTGTGGAGCAGGCGGGGGGCACACTGGGGATGGCGGGGGAGAAATGTGGGTGTGACGCTGAGCAGTGGGCCGAACCTGCAAACGACAGCAACGACAAAAAGAACAGCTTTACACAAAATAACACCAAGATTCGCTCACAAAATGTACAGCCACTACACTTTAACAGTATATCCAGCAAAGCGCTTTGAGACATCTCACAGTTGCTACTGTAGATTTAGGAGCAGCGTTTGGGTGAAAGCAGCAACTCAGCAATTTGCAGATTAATTCACAATAAAGAGCAAATTCTAAATAAAGCAATCCTATGGAAAATCAACTGGCTATTTACCTGTGGTCATGGGAATCCCCCCTAATCCGGCTATTGTCCCCATTGGAAGGTTAGGGAAAGGCAAGTTGAGGTTTGGAAAGTTTGGTAGGTTGGTAAGAGCGGGTGGTGCAGTTATCAGACCTGGGAAAGAAGATTATGACAATTGGGCAGCTGGTGAGGCAGAAGGCAAAAAAGATACATGGATGGAAACAAATGAGATGAATTTCCAAAGGCTCGGGTGTTAAAGCTACTTTACTAGTGTCAACAGATCTACCTAACGGGAAAACTGTCCCATTGTACTCTGGCCCTGAGCACTCAGATATGAGCTACGAGCAACGACAAGTCAAGCCCAGTCTATCTCAGTCTCGAGAGAGGAGGGGACTTCAGAGGGGTTGAAAAAGTAAACCCCGATCAATATTTTAGACTGCACCAAGACAACGGTACAAGAGGACACAGGTTTATAGAGTCGTAAAGGGGTAATTTCAGGGCAGACACCAGGAAGTGTTTCTTCACACTTAGGGGAATCAACATCTGGAACGGAAGGGAGGGAGCAGGGGGTTGAGGCCAGGACACCATTTATTTAAAAAGCAGCTTGATGTGGTGGGCATACCTGGCACTGTACTGGTGATGGCTGCATTGGCTAATGACACAGTGAAAGGTTCGCTCATTGGAGAAGGAAGCAGTGGGACACTTATTGAGCCTGAAAAACAAAACATCGTGACTTACTGAGCTTCGCTCCCTCCTTCAAGGCTCATCTCAGACCCTCCTCATCGACCATGCCTTCGGTCACCCTCCTACACCCACCCTCCCTGCCCTCCACACCCCCTCCTGATCCCAACCTTCCAGCTCGGGTGCAAATCCCTGAGCGTTCAGTGCCTTCGGATGTCCTCCTGACACGAAAGGCACTGCGTAGAAGTCATTTGTTGTTGAGAGAGAGACACGACATGGAGCCCTCCACTCTAACACTGAAGAGTTCTCTCTGATACAAACAGTAAAGCAACCAGTGTCCTCTGCATTATATATATATATATATATATATTATATACACACACACACATAAAAAGAATGGATGGTACTCTTGAACAATTATGCCAGTAAGCCAATGGTTTCCAGAGAGGACTGGGGTGGAGGTGGATCTTGCGAGGCGGATCTTGCGAGGTACGTTAACCACACTACAGGGCTCCACTCCACATTGTAGCTGGTGTGACTGTATCTCGTGTGTTTGCGACTGTACCTGTTACCGGGGGGGAGGTCGTTGCAAGCCGGAGTCCGCTCAGCTCGTGCTGCAGGGCAGTGGGAATGCTGCTCATCAAAGGAGCGCTGGGAGCTGAAAAAGGAACCTACAGAGAGGAGAGAAGAGAAGAAACCTGAAAACATTGCCTGGACTCTCGTGAGTGCATCTTAGTCACTAACTGGACCGAAAGATATTTGGAGCCCACTTGAAGCCAGTACAGCACTGAGGTGACCAACATGATGATGGGTAACAACCTCAACTACTTCTCCTTTCCCAGAACCCCGACTGTAGTTCTGATGCCATTGGTTTGACAGGCTATGCTTATTCAGGCATGGCTTTCAACAGGCATAGAAACAATTTAAACCTGGCTGATCACTTTCCAGAGGTAATAATCCCTCCGAAAGCAATAATAATCTACGACTGAGGGACACTACTGTCCGCAATTGGCTGCCGCGTTTCGCAAACAAAATACACAGCGACTACAATTTACAGTATATTCTGTGATGCGCTTTTGAGACTTCTCGAAATGCATACAGCGTACAAACAGACGTGGATTGAAGTGACCGATTTATTATTATTTTTTATTGGAAGGAATTATTAACCTCGGAAAAGCAAATCTCCAATCGATTAACGGCCAGGTTCCTTCTTGGTGCATATTAGACTCCAATATCCCAAATATAAGCGGAGCTCTACCTTGATGAACCCATCTCTCAGGGGGCTGACAGCAGGGCTCGATGGCAGGCTAGCTCTGGGAACCACCGATGCCTTTTTCTCCGGGAGGTGCTGCTGGATAGGTATCCGGTGAAGATAACCATAGCCGATTCCACAGCCCAGGCTAAAACATAGAGAGAGAGAAAAAACACATTAAGATGTCTGAACTACTAAAAGGTGCAGCTTTCCTACCTAGAAAGTAGTTGAAATGATGGAGAGTACGTCCTTTCTTATGCTCACGAGGCTGAGAAATCTCAGTAGCTGGGGAAAACGGTTGATCACTTTATAATATAATCCTTGCATTTGATGTAGCACCTTATCATGTCCTTGAGACGTCTCCAAGCGCTTCACAGGATACACTGTAGAATGGATTGACTGTATTGTGTGGGTGAATCCCAGTAGACAATTTCGCACAGCAGTGTCGCACAAACAGTCGTGGATTGAGTGACCATTTTTTGATTCTTGCAACCAGTGTGTCAATTCCAAACTACCATCAGCCACTACAGAACAGCTTCCTGCTGTACTCTGTGCTGTGTGTCCTTCCAAACATAACCCAGCGATTTGCTCACAACTAGAGAACGGTCACAGACCAAAGCCATATGCATTGAGGGTTGAGTTGAGGGACAAAAATCAGACACACGTATGACTTAGAGCTGCTGAAAGAACAGAGTAGAGGTTCCACCTCATCAGAGAGCAGCGTTGCCTTTGTATAGCTGTACAACTTCAGGTAGCAGCTTTGTCTCCAGCCACTTCTGATCCCAACCCCCAGCTCGCAACTAAATCCCTGACTGTCTAATGCCTTGGAAGTCCTCCCGACATGAAAGAAGCTGTGTAAATGTGATCTGTTGTTGAACGAGGCGAGGAGGGTTAAGAGTCCTACAGAGTAGGTGTAGCTGGGCTGAAATTCTAGCTACAATGGCGCCTATTACTTTCCCTAAAAAAAGCGACCACATCCTTATATAGTTTACCAAAGATAAGCAAACGACTGATCCAAGCACAGAAGTGATTAATGAACTAGATTATTAGTTATTACACTGATTTAAAATTTAAACAGGGAGTTTTGTTTTGGTTAGCCAAGTGTCTGACACACACACACACACAGAAACCCAGCACCGTGCTTCGGAGTCTCCAAACCAGTCTGGGAAATCCAGAATAATTATCGCAAACATTGCTATAATTAATTAGCCATAAGTATCAACGTCCTTTCTGCTTCGTCCTGTCAATTTTCATCCAGAAAGCAGATGCTGGAGACATCACACGAGACACCCCTGGGTGAATGTCAAAGTGCGAGGCAGCTTAATTAAACACCTACAGCTGTGAGAGAACACCTTTTCGCTCTCTCTCTCTCCCTTCCCAACCCCCACCCACTCTGTATAACAAGACTCTCTCTCCCTCTCCCCACAACCAGAGTCTAAAACCTGTCAGCTACCGACCATGTCAAATCATTCTTCACATCTTTGAAAACACAGCAGCCAATCGTGCACAGCAGTGTCCCATGAACAGTCGTGGATTGAGTAACCAAATGTGCCTAAGACTTTGTCCCGCCCGAGAATTAAACCCAGGTCCTCTCGCTTGCGAGGCGAGCGCTATAACTAATACGCGACAGACTCCACAACTCCAGATATTAGCAGAGACTCGAGAATTACTCTAGGGAAGTATCCACGGCAAAATAAAAAGAATTCCTACTGTTAGCTCGGAGTCAGGAGTCATTGGCAACGATCCAAGCTCCCACCAGACCAGACGTTTCACGAGTCTGTGTGTGTACAGATGGAGAAAGCAATGTTACGTGGCAGGCACCGGCCACAAAACAGCTGCAGCCCGCTAGCCTTTCAACTATCTACTGAGCTCCTAGAACTAACAATCGCACCATTCATAATGATCTGTTGTCTGGATGTCACAGCCTGCACAAATTTCTTAATAGCAATGACACACATTAGAGGGGCTCAGACTGAAGGGGTGAATGAATATGAAATGCTGCAGTTTCGCCTACAAACTACACAGTCACTCCACTTGGCAGTCTATCCTATGAAGCACTTTGAGACCACTCAATGACGTGATTTAAGTCTCAATATCAAATGAAAGGATTATTCTAATTATTATAGTAAAAGGAGTAACCTACAGATCCGAAAACCAAAACATTTACACCATAAAAACTAACAGTTTCTGCTATACAAGATGATATAAATGCCATGGATTTTTTTAATAATAATGTTCAGAGGAGACTAATATCTCTCTAAAATATCACAGTCACTCCTTCTTCGCCATAAAGCTCCGACATAATTTAATAACTGAGTATTATTAAATTCTAAACCGAGAACTTATTAATAAATTTAATAAAGAATTTTGAATGCATCATAAACTCTGGTAACTATTCCCCTCCTCAGCCTAGGGTTGGGGGAACAAGCACTCAAGTGTTTTTAAGGGTAAACGGTGCTTGGATCAGGAATGGCTCATCTGCAGTCAACTGCACTGACAAATCGTACTGATGATTTAAAAGGGTGTATCTGACCCTGTCATACCTGCCCTCTCCACCCCATGCACTGTTAGGCGTGATAATCACCTCCCGACAATTGTCTGTGTCTGTGTTGTACACATAGATCTTTAGTGGCTTTCCGTTGTGCGATTCGATCAAAGAGAACAAGTCTTCAGACTGAAAGAGAAGCAGAAGGATGTTAGAACTAAAATGAGTCATTATCTGCCCATCAGTAAGAACTAAAGGCTTATACCCCACTTCAAGAAACATTGGCCATATTAAATTTCCCTCTCGTCACTGATTCGCCAAACAGGATTAATGTCTCCCTATTGACTATCAAAACCCCTCAGAATTTAAGAAGTTGATTAGGTCACCGCTCAAACTTTCTTGTGTCAATGGGAAAAAGTTCTGCTCACAGGCCAAACCACTCATTCCCGCTATCATCCCAGTAAATCTCCTCTGCACCCCTGCTTATTGCTTTGATGCCTTTCCTAAAGTGGAGGGACCAAAACTGGACACAAGATGCTAACTATGGTCTAACCAAACAATGCATCCGAGATGCAAACGATGATACTCCGGGCAGGAGAAAGGCGACTGTTTGGAGGACAGATGCCTCTCACTTTGGTAACAAAGAAACTGCACCGAGTACCCGATAGACATTTCACGTTTCCCACAGTGTCGATGCCACAACCTGAGGGCAGCAAGAAACACACAACTCTGTACTGTGTGCACCCACCCCCTCACATGGCCCCCTACATGGAGGCACAATCCCTCGTTAGGATCACTCTCCGCCGGAGGTGAAGATGGCCGGCGAGATGGGTTTGTCACTCACCTCACGGAGGATGGCTTCTGCTCCGATGATGTAATCCGTATACGGCCTCAATCCCGCCAGAGCAGCAGGGGAGTTGGGCTCCACTTCCTGAGTCAAACAACACAGGGGATATAACACAGTGTAGTATTTCTGTGATCCATCACCCACTGGTCATTTAAGATTAAGGAAGTGCTGGACATCTGAAGTCAGTAGAATAGTAACCTTCAGCATTGAACACTCGATCCACAACTGTTTGTGGGACTCTGCTCTGTGCAATTGGCTGCCACTTTGCGCCAAAAAATAGTCAATTCACTTTATAGTGTATCCTATGAAGCGCTTTGAGACGTCTCAATGACTTGATAAGGCGCTATATACATCAAATACAAATATAATTATTATTCCCTCTCTATCTGTGTGCAATTTCTCTCTCTCTCACATCCCCAGTCAGCTTTGGACTATCACTGTGCTACCACCAAGGCACACAAGCTGAGGGAGCAGAACACCTACCAGCACATGCCAGACATTTTCGTTAGCTCCGTCAAAGCTGCAGAAGCGAATGCTGACGCCCAGCAGCCCCTGGCCACCCCACAGGTTGCTGGGAGTCGCGGTAATTTCCCGCACTGCCTGCGTCTTGGTGTTGTAAACAGTCATTTTCAGGGCCTTCTCCACACTGACGATCAACAGTTCCTTTAACGTATTGTCATCTTTATCCTGTGGAAATAGAAGAGAAACACGAGAGATGAAAGATTCTGCCAACAGACAAATCCAATGCCTTGTGCGGTGCTGAGCTCCACAGAGCAGCAGCTTCCCAGCTCCAACCCCTTCCTACAATCGTAGGAACCGTTGAAGAGAAAGGTCTTCAGGCACGACCGGAAGATAGGGAAGGAGGAGGCAACTAGGTGGGATAGTGGGAGAGTGTTTCAGATTTTCAGGGGATAGTGGCTGAAAGATAAGCCACCAATGGTGGAATGGAAGACATGAGGGACAAGCAGGAGGCTGGAGCCAGTCGAGCGGAGGCAGTGGGTGAGTAAATGGGTCGGAAAGGTAGAGAAGTGCCCTCACATTAACGCTCCCTGGACAGAGAGGATAGGTAGAAAAGACACACATGCATTTCTCTCCCCCCACCTCCAAAAAATCTGAAGTTTGGGAGCAGGCTGACTGGCTTGGATTTCAGCCAGAGAGGCCCAGAAGTAGAGCAAGGGAAGTTTGACGAATTGTACATTCCCTGTGAGCTAATTATATAAAAGCAGAGAATTTTCTTTATATTAGAATCAGCTGCCCACTACCCCTGAAGAAAGGGTTAATGACACACAGAGAGAGAGAGAGAGAGAGAAACATGGGGAGATGGAACAGCGTTCCCGCACACTTACCAACCGAGCATCACCGGCGGAGATAATAAAATCAAAGAAAGGTTCCAAGCCGGCCCAGTAGCCTGGGGAGTTCTCTTGCACCTGTTCCAAAAGCATAGAAAGTAAAACCACATTAAACACTCAGGGCTGAGCAGGCGTCTCCTGAAAAGCTGCCACATCGACTTTTGCAGAAAAACATCAGGCTCCAGACCTGCAGCACACAAGCGCCTCACATTGCATCAAGCCAAAACTGGGCTCACGCACCCACCCAGGCAGGCAGGCGTGTGAACCCCCACAGACGGGCACCCCCACCCACCCAAGGCGCACGCACAGGCCCCCCTCTCTCACACACCACACCCCACACACGTCCCCCCCACACAAGCACACACACACACACACAGGCATTTCCAAGCTGCGGGCACACAACAGGAGAGAGCAACTAATTGACATTCCTGCCCAATGAAAGAGGACAGGCATTCACGTGTCCCTCTACGAAAAAACACACTTGTCTCCCACTTTCAGTGCCTCGGGACATCCTCCTGACGTGAAAAGCATTTTATATATATATATTTTTTATATATATATATTTGAGAGAGAGAGGATTCAGGTGGCACGGCTCCGCAATCTGAATTTGTATTACAATTTGTAAGTATTTTAGTCTATACTAATAATAATTTGATATAGCTCCTTATCGCGTCTTCAAGACGTCTCAAAGCGCTTCACAGGATAAACTGTAAAGCGAATTGTATATTTTTTGGGAGAATCGCAGCAGCCAAAATTGCTCAGAGCAAACACTCGTAGATTGAGTGATCGAATTGTTATTATTATTATTTTTTAAGGGATTATTACCCCCCGGAAAAGCAATCCACCAATCGACTAACCATCGTGTGCCTACTTACTGCGAGGTTATACAGAGGAGTGTGGAGTAAGGAAACTTGCCTAAGGTTTCACCCTGCCCGGGAATTGAACCCAAGTCCTCTGGCTTGCGAGGGGGTACTCTAACCACTACGCTGAAGAACTCCACTGACTAGATAGACAAAGCACAAGTTTTTCAGGAGAAATTAATACTCATTCAAGCACTTTGAGATGGCCTCCCAACATGAAAGGCACATTGCATTGATTTCTGAACCCACCCATTTTGACGCAGAGTAAAGGAAACTATTAAGAGTCGTGTGGAAAGATTCAGCGCATCTAACTGTAGAAACTTAATAATTTAAAGTTCTCCTTTGACCAACCGGCGTTGCATTAATGCAGCAGTTAAACTGCAGAGCCAGCTGACATTTCTGTCTCACCCGCCTTCTCCCCCTCTAGGACTAAGTCCCTCTCTCTCTCCAGTCTGCCCCATTGCTACTGGTATTGTTTCCTGCAGTACCAGGATGTCTTTCGCACATGAAGGCCATTATAGGACATTACAATTGAAAGAATAAAGACATGCAATCGATTGTAATTAACAGCAGAGCAATTTCAGGTCACTAAATTTTATCTCCCGATTCAAATCTTTATGACATCTCTCTGTGTAATCATTCCCTGGCATTATTGCAACTCACTATGGCAAAGAGGCAAGAGACTTAACTCCCAAGTGGCTCATTGTAGAAGAGAATTAAAGCTTTTGACCAAATAGGAAGAAACTGGAGGGAGTAAAGATGTAGTCATATAATTCAGTGCTGGAAACAGAGAGCGATTTCCATGTCCTCCCCATGAGAGTCACAGGATTTGAAAGCTCTTGAATCCTGACTTTAAGAAACAAAGGATAGGATAGCCCTGCCCTCATGTGGAGTACAACAACTTGCATTTATATAGCTCCCTTCGCACAGAAGAACATATCGGAGCACTACATAGCGGAGTTGGATTCTGAGCTACGAGGAACAAAGTGGGTGTGAGGGGTGGTTATATCATCATAGACGCAGCGGGATTTGACGAAGGGATGGAGGCGAAGGGATGGGGCAGGGAGTTACAGAGATGGTGGACGTAATGACTGAAGGTTTGGCCATCGATAATGGCCCACAAGAGGCAGAGGACGCGTAGCAGGGCTGTGTTAGCTGAGCGGAGGGCACGAGCAGATGAGTGGGGATACGAGCAGATCAGAGAGAAGGGAGAGGAATGCATGTGTGAGGATAATGGTGCACCCCATTATCAGCAGTCGTGCCGACCAGCCTATCTGCCCTCACTCTTCGGGACCCCATTCAATTCCGCAATCCCTCCCTCACCCCTTTCGAGCTCCATCGCAAAAACAATGTCTCTTTTCAAGGCCAAAAAAAAACACAACACTCTACTTTCTAGCCAGTGTTTGTAGGTCATGCCTGTTATACCTGGGAAATAGCCTCTCGCCTCTCTCTACGTTGTCCCTGTTGCAGGAAGCAAAACTGTCCATAGTCTGCAGACTGCCCAACACACTTTAAATCAAGAAATCTGAACTCTGATGAGTATGTCACAGTATTTGCCCAATGGCTTATTTGCACTGGTTATTGCTGTCTCACATTGTCTGGACCACAGTTAGTAAAGAGACAGTCTTTTTCAGCTTTGACAAGTTCTCTCTTACAATTTTCTGGAGGTAGAAACCCTTCCAAAAAAATAATAAATATAATAATTTGGTCATTCACTCAATCCACGACGGTTTGTGGGACACTGCAGTGCACAATTGGCTGCCGCATTTCACCCACAAAATATACAGTTAATTCACTTTACAGCATATTCTGTGAAGCGCTTTGAGACGTCTCAATGACGTGATAAGGCGCTATATCAAATGCGAGGATTATTATTATTATCCATAGAGTATGTGTGCCACCTATTTATACTCCCTACACACAGTATCTTACCCTTATTACTTCAGCCTCCTACATAATGATGAATGAATACCAGAGGCTGTCAGTGACAACTCGGATTATAATAAATTAAATTATATTACACTGAGGGTCAGTTACTCTGACAAACATAAGAATTTGCCGAGCGAAAGAACACTCATGACCATCTAGCTCGCCTTCCACCATCCTGGCAGTCGCTTGACATGTCGTGTCCCAAACTATATACTGCATCCCGAAATGCTTTCCCCTAGCAGAAATCTGTCTAATTTGTTCTCGAAACAAACAACACTTTCTGCTTCCACAGTCTCCCTAGCGAGCCTTGTTCCGTACGTGTTGCTACTCGCTCGCTGAACCAGTATCTCCGTAGATTTGTTCCGAATTTAATTCAATTGTAGGCCATGTCCACACTGTTCAGCACAAGATAAAACGGGAACAGGGAGTAAACTTTGCTTGGTTTGTACAGCTCACAGAGAAAGCTCAGCCCGTCGTCCTGTTTATGTTCTAGAAATTTCCAGACTTCCCATCTCTTCTCCCCCCTCACCACCCCCCTCCTTACAAGGCAGTCTCAACAAAAAAAATTACTCACAGCGTTCCCAGGAAAGACACTGGAACACTGTATTGAAGCATATACCGACATTTTATCAAACTGAATATGCAACAATCACCCCCCGCCCACCCACTCCCTCCCTCCGAGCAGACAGAAAGAGACATCTACCGTCTCCCCTCCCTTTCCCCGGGGAGAAAGGGGACATTTACGAATAACAAAAGACACCCCCACCCTGCTCTTTCTGGGAAGGAGAGTCGGCGGATAAGGATAAACCTCCTGCAAAAACATCTAACCCTTAAAACAAATGATTCACACGCCACAATGACACACAGCTCCACGTGGAGTGGAAAACGGGGGGGAAAACCGGGCTCAAGCCCCGCGCGTTGAAAGTTGAAATCACACCGTCTAAGCGGACGCTCCAATGCAGCGTAAGGCGTGGCTTCAGCTCCCCTCTCGACTCTCTACCCCCTCCTCGCTCCCTCCCCTCCCTTCCCTTCCCTCCCCTCACCCTGACCATTTCCCCCCACTGCTCGGGTCCCGACCCAACTGTCCGGCGCCTCGGGACGTCCTCCCGACGTGAAAGGCGCTCTACAAATGCAATCTTGTTGCTGCCGTTGTTGTTGTTGTTGTTGTTGGCAGGTTAAGCCGAGCGCCCCGTTCAGGTTGACGTTAAAAGATCCCGCGGCGGAAAAGACAAGGGAGTTTCTCTCTCTTTCCCTCACTCCCGGTGTCCTGGCCAACAATAATAAATAATAATAATAATAATCATCATCGCTGTTGCATTTCATACAGCGGCGCCTGATCACCTCTTCGAGATGTCGCAAAGCGCTTCGCAGGATATGCTGTAAAGTGCAGTGACTGTGTATTTTTGAGGGCTAAACGCGGCCACAATCCCCCAGACCAAAACCAGCCGCTCACTCCACGACTGCCTGTGTGCAATTCACCCGCGAGGCACACGAGTCTCTACGCGTTGCGCGATATCCCGCGAAGCGCTTCGAGGCGTCTCCGCTCTGTGACAGGGGCGCGATATCAAGTGCAAGGATTATTATTATTATTAATAGCCTAAAATTAACCCCCCCCCCCCCCCACCCCCACCTCTCCAGGTAATCTCACCTCCCCGCTCATTCCTTGTTATCCCTAGTCACCCTCCCCCGCTGTTCTCAAATTCCCTGGGCTTGCCCCCTGCTCTTGCCCCGGTTTATCACCCGGTTCACCCCCAGTTCCGTTACCAAGTTACCCAACAAAACGCACCGCCGATGCCCTTTGCAGTGTGTGTGTGTCCCGTGAAGCGCTTTGAGACGTCGCGAAGACCTGACCGGGCGCTGTGTCAAATGCCGGTATTATTATTATCATTATTATTATTAAGTCACTCCTAGTTTTGTCTCTAGTTACCTCCCTGGTTACGATTTATTACACGTTAACGCCGGTTTAACCACTCCAGTTCCTGCTGTCTAGTTACCTCAGACTGGGGGGGGGGGCTCTGGGGGTAGTTACCCCTCTGGTTGACACTAGTTACATCCGGGTTCTCCCTGGTTATCCCCTCAGGTCAGCGCTGGTTTCCCCTCAGGATGTAGGCCGCAGCCGAAGCCCGGGAGCCGAGTTAGACCTCCTCCGGCGCCCCGCCCGCCCGCCCGCCCCGGCCCGGGCTCGGGGCCCTCACTCACCCGCAGCACATGGAAGCCCTCGGTCCTGCCGCCGGGAAGCTCCGAGCTCTGAGACGCTCCCATCAGCCGCCGAGTCTCCCCCCCGGAGCCGCCACCGCACAGCTCCGCGCGAGCAGACTCCCTCATCAATATTCAGCGCCCGTTCCCATCCCCCCGGCAACGCCCACTGACCGACAGCCGCCGCGACCAATCGGCGTGCGCCCGGCTGCCGGCCGTGCTCTTCCATTGGTCCCGCGCCGCTCGGGTCCCGCCTCTCCACCCCGCCCACCCACTCGCGTTACGTCGCCTCATCAATATTCAGACGACGTCATCGCCTCCTCCTCCGCCCCCCCCCCGACGGCAACACCGCCCACTGATTGCCTGACTGACTGACAGTCCACGCGACCAATCAGCGCCCGCCAGGCTGTCACCAACGCGTGCCTATTGGTTCCCGCACCGCTGATGGCCCGCCTTCCCGACCCGCCCATCCGCTCGCACGCGCATCGCGACTCATCATTCGCCCGCCCACTCCCGGCCCCGCCCCTTGACCACGCCCACTGACTTGACTGACAAGCGCCGTGGCCAATCAGCAGCCGCCAAGCGGTTACAGCAGCAGCAACACGAATAATCTTTGATACAGAGTCTCTCATCAGATCGTTGAGAGGTCTCAAAAGCGCTTCGCAGGATACACTGTCGAGTGTAGTGACTGTGCATTTTGCAGGCGAAACGCGGCAGCGGATTGCGACGACCCCACAAACAGTCGCGGAAGCGAGCGACCAGACTTATTACTTTATTACGAGATGCGATAATAATAACAATAACAATCACAATAAAAGTCGTTGCATTGCACACAGCGCCCGATCACGTCTCCGAGACGTTTGAAACCTCTCCGCAGAATACGCCGCAAAGTGAACTGACCCCTATACCTTTGAGGGCTGAATCCAATGATTGATATTGTCGTCGATCCCGACATCAATGCTCACGGACGTGTGAGCGCGGAACTGACCCGTCGATCGCCCCTTTCGCGCCCAACTCGATGCAACATATACAACATAGGCGCGAGTTGTCAGGTCGGGGGATCGGGGGACACGGGGCGAGGGATCGCTAAGTAATTGGAGTTGAGGTGCGGATCAGCCTCGATCCAACAGTATGGCGGAACCTGCTCGAGGGGCTGAATGGCCTCCTCCTGTTCCGGTGTTCCTTCCCCTGGTTACACACACACACACACACACCTGATGTCCATCCATCCCCTGGAGTGTGGGTGGGGTGGGGGGTTGGAGGGGGGGGGGGGGGAGAAGGTAAGTTTTATCTATGGTAACACTCATGTTCCACCACTAGGGGGCAGTGGTTACCTGTAGAGAGATGAGACAACCAGGCAATGGTACATATCAGGGCAATGGATGATTACCCCCCCACTCCCCCCCTTCCAGACCCCCCCCCTTCCACCCCCTGACCATCTCAGCCCCGACTCCCTGACCCCTCGAGAAGCGTCACACGCCGCCCCCACCCCCATCGAAAGAATAAACGAGAATAATAACAATAATCCTCGCATTTGATACAGCGCCCCTTATCACGTCTTCGAGGCGTCCCACAGCGCTTCACGAGGTGTAGTGACTGCGCATTTCGTGGGCGAGCGAAACACAGCAGCCAATTGCGCGCAGCAGCGTCCCACAAATAGTCGTGGATTGCTAAGTAAATGGAGGCGCGTGTGTGTGTGGAGTAAGGAAACTTGCCTTAGGTTTTGCCCTACTCCGGCCGGGAATCAAACTCGGGTCCTCTCACTTGTGTTGAGAAGTCTCAAAGCGTTTCGCAGAAAGTGTATTTTGTGGACGAAGTGATGCACTTATTATCAGTTAGGGTGGGTTGATTTAACAGCCTAGTAATTGGAGGTAATAGCAGGAGGTGGCTTCGCCAACTGGGCAGACTGCTGCTGTGGTTGGTATTATTAGCGGAGCTTCAGGCACGGAGGCTGTTCATTTCACATCTTGTTGAGCAGAGCAAAGCGCCTGACACACAGAGAAAGAGAGAGTGTGTGTGAGTGTGAGAGAGAGAGAGAGACAGAGCGTGAGCGAGCAGCAGACTGGCACAAATCCCGTCCATCCTGTCCTTTTGCAGCTTCGCTCAGCAAACTCCTGGGGTTGCGTGAAAGGGAGATCAATGGCTCCACTGGGCGCCGTTTTTGTGAATGATTCTGTTCCATTTCACGAGGCGTCGAGAGCCAGTTGAACAAAGAGGTCGATCGGTGACTGATACACACACGAAGCCATCAGCTGGGCAATGCACAGGGCTCTGCAGTGGGTCTGAACGCCCCAAGGTAGAGAAAGGAATATATGCCAAGTTACTACATGATTCGAGTCACTCACAATCTCGCCGCCGGCTTAGACGGTTGTGTCTTCAACCTCAGCAACCCCACCACCCTCTCCCAGGGCAAGGACTTTGAGCTCGAAGTCTGCTGATGCTCCACTTCAGTGCTGGGGGGGCGGACATAGGAACGTAGGAGCAGGAAGAGGCCATTCAGCCCCTCAAGCCGGAATAGAAGGGTGTAGGAGAGGGAAATAGAGGGGTATTGGGGAGATGAATAGAGGGTGTTGGTGGGCACTCATGTGGAGGATAAACAACTCACAGCCTAGTTGAGCCAAATGAGCCGTTTCCGTGCTGTAGCACAGGGTGCGAGAGGGGCACAGAACGCAGATAGTTTCACAGGACATTGAAGTAGAATCCTCAAAAAGTTTGGATTAAAACACAAGAGTCTGGAAGCTTCTCTACCTCTCCCTCCGCAAGTGATAACACTCTCCGTTAATTACCCAGCCATCTGTTTTCAATTTCAAATGATTAATGATTTTTTTGCAGTTCTATTAAATGAGAGCCAGCAAATATACTGAAACCTTTTTTTCTCCCCCCGTTGTTAATTTCCCCCCTCAGGGGGAGTATTCAAAGCTGGAACTCCTCTTTAGTGAAGAATTTCAGATCCTGTGAGGAGAGACGATTCGAAGATAATGAGCAACTTCGTTGGTATTTCTTAAAAAGTATTTTTTTTTAAAAATACATTAGGTGCAGGTTGGGCGAGAGCCAAGGTTTGGGGTGGGGGCCCAGAGCGTGTGTTGGGATAATTGCTGGAGTCTGACCAGCTAAACCCACTTAGCTTGCCATTAATATTGTTGACTGGCCAAGCTTTCCCGCTGCTTGTCCAGATAGAGGACCACCCTCCCCGTTAGTTAGTTAGTTAGGGCTTTGGCTGTGGGGTTAACAGGAGCTGAGGGGGAGGATTCTCTGCCCCCAGTGACGGGTCGGCCCTTCCAGGTCCTGCCGCTGTGCCCGGCTCGGGTGGACGTGAAAGATGCCGCTGTGCTATTGGTGTTTTTCTCTCTCTCTCCCGGTGTCCTGGCCGACAATCCCTCCCGGATAATATCGCTCGCTCACTTGATGGCTGTTTGTGGGTCTTTGCTGTGTGCAAATTGGCTGCCGTGTCAGTCGATACACAATCACTACACTTAACAGTAAAGCCTGTCAAGCGCTTTGAGACGTCCTCCTGACGTGAAAGGCTTGGTGTCGGGTGTCAGACGTGTGCCTTTCACGTCAGGAGGAATGATAAAGCATCACACAGCAACGTCGAGATAATTTAATTGGCTTTATTTGACACCTTAAAAAAAACGTACACACGCACAAACACATCGCAAATTTACACTGCGTTGGTCAACACTTCCTCATTATTTCCCAAAAGAGTCCACAACTCAGCATTGCATTGTCACCCGCACCGCCACCCCCCACACCTCCCCCACCACCCCCAACCCCTTGGGGTGTTGTGCTTGGGGTGAAGATTGTCTCCAAAGTTGGGGTTCAGATGAGGAAATGTCCATAAAGCAGGGTGCTCTCGGGTCAAGTCCTGTAGCTCAGTCCTGTAGCTCAGTGAGAGGACCTGGGTTTGATTCTCGGCTGGGCAAAACGTTAGACAAGTTTCCTTACTCCACACGTTTCTGTTTACCAACAGTAAGTAGGAACCTGGGTATTGGTCGATAGTCGATCGCTTTTCAGGGGGTAATAATCCCTTCAAACAAAAAAAAATAATAATAATTTGTCACTCAATCCACAACTGTTTGTGGGGACGCTGCTGGGCACAATCGGCTGCCGCGTTTCGCCCACAAAGTATATACAGTCAATTCACTTTACAATATATTCTGAGAAGCGCTTTGAGACGTCCTGAAGACGTGATATGGCGCTCCATCAGATGCGTTATTATTATCATTATATTGGTAAAATCATTTCTCTCGAGGCTACACTTGACCCTTTAATGTTCCATTACCCCCCACAAGCCCCCAACTCCATTGTCAGGGCTATCGGGTAAGAGCGGCCGAGTGAGTGGGATTAGTTGATGGCTCTCTCAAAGAGTCGGCACATGCACGATGGGCAGAATGGCCTCCTTCTGTGCTGAAAGATTCTATGATTCAGTGATCCCATGGAAAATCCTTCAAACATTGCTGAGATATCGACCATCCCTCTCTCACCCTCTCTCCCCTTCTTTCTCTCGCACTGTCTCTCCACTCCGAAATCCCCTCATATTTGGGACACATTACACAAAAGACATCTATTTCTCAGGATGGATTTATCCCTTCTCCTCCTCTCCTCTCTCTGTCTTTCTCTACCCTCTCTCTCTACCTTTCCTCCCTCTGCGCATCTCTCTACCTCTCCTCTCCCCTCTATCTTTCTCTCTCTATCTCCCTCTCTTTCTCTGTGTCTCTCTAGCTCCTCTCTTTCTCTCTCTTTCTCTCCTTCTCCTCTCTCTCTTCTCTATCCCTCTCTCCCTATTCCTTCTTGACATTATCCGGAGACTCCTCTCGCTGCCGGGCTTTCTTGTTCTGGTGGGTTTTGACATGTTTGGCGAGATGGTCGCTCCTCATGAACCTCTTGGCACACTGCGGGCAGCAGAAACGTTTCTCCCCAGTGTGTGTCCTCAGATGTCTCTGCAGCTCGTCCGACCTCGTGAAACTCTTCCCGCAGAAGAGCCAACCGCACACGAATGGCCTCTCGCCGGCGTGCCATCTCAGGTGGGCCTTCAGGTGGGACGTCTTGCCGTAGACCTTGCCACAGCCCGGGACATGGCACACATGCTGTTTCTTCTTACCCGGCAGCTCCCCGGTGCTGGGAGCCTGGCAGTTGGGGCACCTGCATCTCCGACACCTTCTAGAGCAGCTCAGGAGACCTTTCGAAGAAGTTTGGAGAAGAGCGTTGGGCAGTTGGCTCTGATGACCCAGGACCATGGACCTCCCGAACTGGAGGTGGTGAGAATTGGCCGCAGAGTTGATCGGCTGCATGCTCCACCAGGGAATGTCCTCGACTGGCGTCATGTGCCTGGACGGCAGAGAGGAGGACGAGGAACTTGGGAGGAAACTCGGGAAGTTCTGGGAGATGCCATTGGATTCCGGGTAAGAGTAAGGGTTGTTCCCGGGCACGGAAGAAGCCAGGATCTTCACAGAAGACAGCTCGAAGGTGTAGACGGATTCTGCGGGGGGGGTGAGGGGTAGGTCATGGGAGCTCATGCTGGGGAGGGGGTACTGGGCTTTGGGGGGGCCGAAGGGCAAGGCATGGGAAGCCCCAAATCCCTCATTGCTCCAGAACTGGAACATGCCCGATGTGGAGCCCCCACACGGGTCACACTGGACTGGGGGAAAGTCCGCAGGTGACGGAGCGATCTGCCCGACACGACCACAGGCCGCAGCCAACATGGCCAGACGAGGGCAGGCCTCAGGCGAAGAGCTTGGTGTCCGGTCCTGAGAAAAAGACAAAACATCGTGTTACGTTTACACTTCAACCCAACAACGCTGAAAATGCCACAAAATACCCAGTCACTACACTGTATGGTGTATCCTGTGAGACGCGTCGACGATATGATATAAGGCGCCATACCCAGTGCAAGGGTTATTATTATTATTGTCACGTCGTTGCGATGTCTCAAAGCAATTTTGTTGTAATCTTAGTGTAGTGACTGTGTATTTTGTGGGCGAAGGAACGCAACAGTCAAAGCATACTGCGGAGTAGGGAAACTTGCCCAACATTTCACCCTGACCCGCCCGGGCATCGAACCCGGGTCTTCTTGCTTGCGAGGTGAGGACTCTATCCACTGAGCTACAAGGACTCCACAGAAAGAAGGAGTGAAGGAAGGAAAGGGAAGGAAGGAAGGAAGGAGGGAGGGAGGGAGGGAGGGAGGGAGGGAAGGAAAGAAGGAAAGAAGGAAGGAGGGAGGGAGGGAAGGAAAGAAGGAAGGAAGGAAAGAAGGAAAGAAGGAAGAGATCAGTGGGAAAACGAGGGATGACAGTGTTGGTAGAGTGGTGTATTGCTCGCACAGTGCTTTGTGAGAGCATCGGTCCCACAGGGCTGTAGGGTGGGTGGTGGCAATTAACTCTGCCATAATTTTTCATAATTACGACTTTGAAGCGTTTTAATGATGGGTCTGAGGGCTCATTATTATCCATTCCGTGTTGGTATTTGGTCCCAGTTTTCTTCTCCATAATTAATTGTGGGGAAACGTGTCAAGAAACGAGATTCCGTCTTCAAACCCAACAATTCACGGGAAAGTTAAGGTCTTTTACGCGTCAGCCTGGCTCAGCCGGTAGCTCTCTCTCGCCTCTGAGTCAGAAGGTTGTGGGTTCGACCCCCACTCCACAGCCCCACACATAATAATTATAATAATAATGATCCTTGCATTTGATATAGCGCTTTTCACGTCGGGAGGACGTCCCAAAGCGCTTCACAGAACACACTGTAAAGTGAATCGACTGTATATTTGTGGGCGAACGCGGCAGCCAATCGCGCACAGCAATGTCCCACAAAGTGTCGTAGATTGAAAATGACCAATTTATTATTGTTTTTGGTTTTGGAGGGATTATTATTAGGCTCTGTGTGGAGTAAGGAAACTTGCCCAAGGTTTCACCCTCTGCCTGGGATTGAACTCAGGTCTCTCACTTGCAAAGCGAGTGCTCTAACCACTGAGCTACAGGACTCCACATGTCGGGGACACTGAGCTCACAGTCTAGGCTAAAGCTCCAGTGAAGTGTTGGGGGAACATTGTCAGAGACGACATCCTTTGGATGAGACGTTAAACCTCACTCCCCATCTGTGCCCTGTTCAGGTGGACGTTAAAGAGCTATTGGAAAAGAGAAGGGAATTTCTCCCTCTATCCCTCTAACTCTCTCGCTCTCGCTCTCTCTGCCCGAGTCCTGGCTGACAGACCCCCAGATAAAATCGATATTCACTTCACGACTGTTTGTGGGCTGTTGCTGTGCACAAACTATAGCCTGCCGCAAAACGCAGTCACTACACTTTATAGTATATCCCGTGAAGCGCTTTGAGACGTCTGGCAGACATGATAATGCGCTGGGTCAAATGCAAGAATTATTATTAGGATTATTAGGATTATTCTCAAAATGACCGTCTTTCCCCTCTCGGCGTTTAATGTTTATAAAGAAAATTTGGGATTTCACGCAGACACACACACACTCACACACAGATTTATACACACACACACACGGATACAGGACTCACACGCAGATTTATACGCACATACACACACATACAGATACAGGCGCTCACACACTGATTCATACCCACACACACAGATACAGGCACATGTGCACACACACATATATATAGATTTTACATACACACACAGATATACACCCACAGAGAGACACACAGACAGACATACACAAAAAGACATACACAAAAAGTTCATTTAGGAGATATTAACTCCACAAACACTGGTACTGCAAAAGTTTTTCTTACACTGATTGAAAAAATATTAATTCTATATATTTTACAGTGTATCCCGTGAAGCGCTTTGAGACGTCTCAACGACGTGATGAGGCTCTATATCAAATGCAAGGATTATTATTATTATGATGAAGCCTCATCACTTCTCAGCTGTGAACAGAGAGAGAAGTACGATTGAAAGACCTGCAGTTCTGATGTCGTTCATTTTCCACCTTCCTCCTCCTCTCCTACCTCGTCCTCTCTCGACAACCACCCTCCTACCCCCGCCCCCCAGAAAAAAGTATAATTAAAGTACATTTATATTCTAATTAATATTTCCGTCAAAAAAATGTGGTCACTTAATTGGCTGCCGCATTTCGCCCATAAAATACACAGTCACTATCCTTTACGGTGTATCCTGTGAAGCGCTTTGAGACGTCTCGAAGGCGTGATAAGGCGCTGTATCAAATGCAAGGATTATTATTATTATTAAAAGTCACCCCCACCTGAAGGAAGGTTTGGAAATAATGATCTTCTGTGGAACAAGTGATGGCAGTCATCGCTCATCAAGAGGAGATAAGTCTTCAGTCTTCACCCTGGTCTTCACTGCTTTCCTGGACAACCTCCTTCAAGAATCTTCTTCGCTGTTTCTCGTGGCTTTGAGATGTTTTGTCGTGGCGGGGGGAGTGGGGTGGGGGGGGTGTGGGGAGAGAGAGAGAGAGAGAGAGAAGAGGGGAAGTTTGGGATTCCAGACCCCTCTTCCGCCTGTTTGTTCGTTCCACCCTTCGTTCCTTCGTCACTGGAATAAATCTGGAGGAAACATTTTGGTTCCTCACTGGGACCATACACACACGCGTGAGTCGAATCAGGCTCGAGAAGAGGAGAAGGAAGGTTTCGGGGGTGGGGGGGGAGGAGAGAGAGAGACAGAGAAAGAGGGAGAAAGAGAGAGAGAGAGAGAGTGAGAGAATCTCGGCTCTTCTGAATGGCTTGGTTGGTGCGTTGTGTGTGTGTGTATATGTCAGGGCTTTAAAATGAACACAACCTTCTCAGTGAGGAGAGTTGGAGCTCAGTGTGTGAGTGTGTGTGAGAGGCAGAGTTGATGTACTGTGTGATATACAGAAGGAGGAGCACATTGCCCCCACACCCCCCCCTCACTCTCCCCCCCGCCCACCCCCTCCGACACTGACTGAAGAAGTTATCACCATCTGGGAGATCTCCATGTACAGAAATAATTGGGTTGACTTCATCAAAGGGCCCCGGCCACTCCCACAGGAAATCACATTCATTCAGCACTGTGTTTTCCAATGAATTCTTCCCGATTCAACCTATTCATAATCACAATATACTCCCACCAAAGGGTTTATTTACCCCCCCCCCCCCCCCGCCCCCCTCCTCCCCACCTGTCCTCTCCTTGCTCTCTCTCGCTCCCTCAAAACAAAACAAACTTTTCCGAATAACTTTTACACTTGGTGCTCGCAAAGGATTACTTGTAAACAGACATGAAGGGGGTGAGAGGTTTTACCTGCCTGGGGATTGTCGTCCAGGACACCAGGAGAGAGAAAAATTCCCTTCTCTTTTCCAATAGCACGGCAGAGATTTGTGTTGGTCGACCGGGTGGATGGTCTCGTGATCTGACACACGCGGAAACCCATCACCGTTGCTTAAGAGTCTCCAAACCCATCTGAGAATTCCAGGACTCCCACCCAACCTGGGAATCCCAGAGAGAGATTGTTGGGATGGAATGCGCTCTCTCTCTCTCTCTCTGGAGGGATGCCCCCCTACTTACCTAATTCCGGAGAGTATTAGGCGCAGGTTGGTAAGAGCCAAGGCTTGGGGGGAGCCCATAGCTTAGTTGGGGTAACTGCTGGAGTCCAACTAAACCCACACATAGCTTAGCCATTGCCACCCCAACTTCCAGCCCCAACTCCTCGCCCCCCCTTCCCCCAACCACCATCCTTGCCCCGAGAGAGTCAGTGTCATTCAGAGACAGCGCAGACAATGAAAGAAAGGGGCCCATTGTGTGACCATCAAAGGCTACAGGAATCTGCTCAATTTGTGATGTTTATTGTGAAGTTCACAGCCACTTGTTGGGGAATAAAAGAGCAGAGAGGGAGAGGTGGGGAGAGCTAACATTGCCACAGGCTTTGCCTTTCATTTCTCAACAACCCAATGCAAAAGCACCTTCTCTCCCCCAAAGCACAGTGTGGGTGTCCGTCCACGCTTGAGCCCAGACACCGGCCGGAGTTAACCCTTTAACCGCCAGGCAAACAGTTTCCGGAGTCCCGTAGCTCACTGATTAGAGAGACCCCTAAGTGGCAAGCGAGAGGACCCGGGGGTCATTTCACTATGTTCCAGGCCGGTCAGGTCGAAGCCTTAGGCAAGTTTCCTTACTCCACACACACACACACATGTGTGCCTCTGTTTACCAGCAGTCAGTAGGAGCCCAGTTGTTAGTCGATTGAAGCATCGCTTTCAGGGGATAATAATCCCGTCCCAAAAAATTCATAATTTGGTCACTCAATCCACGGCTGTTTGTGGGGAACGTCGCTGTGCGCAATCGGCTGCCGCGTTTCACCCACAAAATATACAGTCAATTCACTTTACAGCATATCCTGTGAAGCGCTTTGAGAAGTCTCGAAGACGTGATGAGGCACTGTGTCAAATGCGGGGATTATTATTATTATTGATGGGTTGGGGAGGGGGATGGAGGGAGTGGAGGTGTGAGGGCGTGAAGAGGAACATTATTCGAGAGCGATAGATTCGTGACAGACTTGTTATCAGAATGCTCAGAAAACAAAGCAAGGAGTGAGGAAGAATTAAAGACCTTTAATGTGTCTCTTCCCGAACATCCTAATTACCTGGCGGTTGATTTCCTGTTTGC